CTCACCTTCCACATGGAGTCTAGCAGGCCTCGAGCTCCATGGATCCATCTCACCTTCCACATGGAGTCTAGCAGGCCTCGAGCTCTGTTGATCCATCGCAGGTCAACCTTCTACATGGAGTCCGACAGACCTTGATGTTTGTGTATCCAAAGCTCCTATGTATTGGCCTTGCCTCTTCACCTGTGCCCCTCCTCACCTGTCAGCTACTTCACATTGGGGCTGATGACTTCACTGTCATCCTCTGCTCCTCCTATTTTGTCATGATGCCCACCTGTCACACAAAATTCTGTGACTCTACCTTCAAAACAGCCAGGGTCTGCCCTTGTCTGGCCAGCTGCCTCCAGTGTCCTGCCGTGCGATGCTTCGCTCCTGTGTGTTCTTATGCAGCAGCCTATGATCACGCTGAACCCTAGGGAGCCCATGTAACTTTCCAGCAAGGCCCTGCAGAGGCCCTGCCTCCTGGTCAGGAGCACCAAATGCGTTATGAGGGCTGCAAGGCCWTCATGGGGCCTGCCCTCTGTCAGCAACCTGAAATCCGCCTAGGACCCCCTCTCCTTTGTCCTCACCGTCCTGGTCACCTGGAGTCCTTCTGTGTGGGCCCAGTGGCATTGAGGTTCGGTCCTTGCTAGGTTCAGACCTGAGTTCACGCTCAGGTGCCACATGCCCTCTCTTCTCTCAAGTCCCTCTTCATAGAGCACTTTCCTGGAGCAGCCCCCTGGCCCCTGAGGCCGATGACCCAGCCCCCAGGTCTCACACCCTTGTCCCCTGTCCTCCTGCTCAGGTTCTCTCACATGGGTTTGCCATCGTCCAGCACCAACATATTATATCATCGTGGGTCTCAGCCTTGCTCTTCCTCGTAGAGCGTGTGCTCTTTGAGGAYGGACTGTTGTGTCTATTTTTTTTGTTATTCTCTGGGCCTGAGGACAGGGCCCAAATAACAGCAGTTTCTTCATAATTAGACGAATCAATTTCAAGATTTATATCTAATGCTCCCCCATCACAGTGACAAGTAGACTCAATGCAATTTTAAGATGTGAAATCCTTCTGAGAAGTGGCTGAGGTATTCCAGAGCTAATTCTGTCGGGCTTCTATTCTGCTGATCTTTAGGTAGCTGTCCCCTTTGGTTTCCCTGGGAAAGAGGCGATCTGCTCCCGTACCAGGCTGAGGAGCATTGCAAGGCAAGCTCCACCCCCCACAAATTACCTAACCCTTTTGAAACATCATTTGTGGAAATAGCTTTCATGAAGCAGAACTTGGGAGACTCATTAGTAGGTAAAATCCATCCCAGGTATCAGTTTATGTAACGATAGCTCACRTTAGCTGGTTAGAGAGAAGAGCAAACCATCCACAGGCAGCAGTAGAGCCCCACAGAGGGGGGATGAAGAGGTTCTTGTCTGCAAAGCTGCAGGGCATGAGGCTGCCGGCGAGTGTCCACCTGCAAGACCCTGCCTGAGCCGTTTCCATGGGCCAAGTCGCCTCACCCCAGGACGCAGGAGTCAGAGGGACACGGCCCCATCTGACACCTAAGGTCTGGGAGCAGGGAAGTGGAGGGACGGGCTCAGTGTCACTCAGGAAGCAGGCTTCCCCAGGAGGCAGAGCACCAGGATGTCTGTCTGTCAGTCTGTCTCTCTCTCTCTCTCTCTCTCTCACACACACACACACACACACACACACATACAGCAGAAGTTGAAAGCCTGGCTCACACAGTTGTGGCTCCTAGGAGTCCCATGTCATGCCATCAGGGAGCCCTGGGTGTCTTGAGGCCTGAGTCTGAGGGCCCAAGAGTCAAGAGCTCCACTGCTCCACTGCCTGCCGAGCACCTGGGTCCTTTCTGTTTCTCGGTCATTGTGAATTGAGCTGCTGTGGGCCTGGAAGGGCAGGTGTCTCTGTGACATCCTGACTTGGTTCCTCTGGGTGCACACCTGGTGCTGGGATGGCAGGGTCAGATGGCAGCTGGACGTCTGTGTTGCTGTGTTCCCAGGAATCCCCACGCTGCTCTSCACAGTGGTTAGGAGTAGGGCCGTGGGTACTGGAGGCCACTCAGGGCGCGGCTGGATGGAGGACCAGTTTCCAGTGTTCCCTGGCACCGTCTCCCAACTCGGGCTGACAGTGATCAGTTACATATTTCAATGAGCTGCTGGAAAGTTCTGAATGTTCCCAGCACAAGGCGATTCTAATGTGGGAGGAGATGGCYGTGCTGATCACCCTGATCTGGCGGACACACGCTGGGAACGAGAGCTGAATCACCACGCTCACCCCATGCGTGTGGACCCTACTATGTGCTATGTGAGGATAAATATAGACAGTAAAATGTCTTTTTAAAAAGCCCACCTCCATGTCCTACCGACCCCATTACTACTTCTCTGCTGAAATCATTCTGCCTAATTTCCTTTTTCTTYCCTCAAACATGGCTCTCTGGGGTAGCCTGGAACCTGGCATGTCTCTGCAAGGACACAGCTCAGGGAAGGGCCGCTGAGAGCCCAGCAGCCCCAGGGCCCTGGCCTGTGCTTTCCCGCTGGCGACTGATGGCAGAGTCTCTTTGTCCTGCACCGTTGTCCAGGCTGCTTGCTGAGCTGCAGGGATACCATCCTGGGTGTGTGTGTGTGGGGGGGATTTCCATGAAAATGAGGTTCAGGCTTTGTATGTTTTTCATGAATGTGACATTAAATCCTGTTCCATGCCTCATGCAAATTCAATGTCATTTAAAATCATCCAGCARTCGGGTGAACCACTGATACTCCAATCCTCTCTCCATCTCCAGCTCTATGTGGAGGCTACATCCAYGGGAAGAGTGGCACGGTCCTTTCCCCGGGGTTTCCAGACTTTTATCCTAACTCCTTGAACTGCACGTGGACCATCGAAGTCTCTCACGGCAAGGGTATGTCTGTCACGGTTCTCACACCCACAGGACAAGSACAGGGCAGGAGCCTGGGTCAGAGAGGTGCTGCTGCGTGCACAGAAAGATAGGCGGCATCCTCATGCGCATTGAAGGCTCCCATTTCCTTGTTTTAATAAGATTTTGGAAGAAAAATGGCCTTTAATTATTGAAGCTACAAGCAAACTTGATTCCTTGTTTTGCTGTTTATCAGATAATCTGGTGGATGCAGGTAAAGATAAAGTGGAAATCAGGCATAATCATCAGGAATAGAGGCACTGATTCAATAGAATGTAAATCTGATTAAATAAAAGAAAATAGGCAATTATCTAAGTTCTAATTTATATTATTAATCTAGGGAAATTTTTGTACCTGGCTTGTGTTTTAAGTCTATCCAGAATTATCCCATCTCATAAAAAACATTAATCCTCATAAAATCCAAAGACACCTTACCAAATAGACACCCTTACCTTCATACTGAAGGTCAGTATGGTAAAGACTAGGAAAAGGGCATTTTGTGCAGAAAAAATGTAGGTTAACAACATTGGGTTCATGGTAGGAATGTACTATGAATCTTTCTTTTTTGCATAAGTTTGCCATTTTTAAAAAAGTTGTTTAGAATTTTAGCCACCTTGACATTATGAAGACCTACATCCACGTCTACACCCACATCTCTCTGTACATCTATTCATCCAAGTTTATATCTATACCTACATTGGTCTCTGGCTGCGCTTACATATTTGAACATTTGCTTTTGTGTATCCCCTGCCCTTTCTTTCATTTCTAAACTACCTGATTTGATCCATGTTATCTCAAATTTCAAAGCTAGATTTTCATGTTAAGATTTTTCAATATTTTGACTTAAACTTGATATCCTATCCTTAAATTGTTTTCAGCCACAGTTAACTCCGCCACCTGTCTCTGTCTTGTCTGGGCTCTGCCTCTCCCCTGTCCTCCCCCCAGGGGTCCAGTTGACCTTTCACACCTTCCACCTGGAGAGTTCCCATGACTACTTGCTTATCACAGAGGATGGGAGTTTCTCAGAGCCAGTGGCCCGGCTCACGGGGTCRGTGCTGCCTCACACCATCAAGGCCGGCCTGTTTGGGAACTTCACCGCCCAGCTTCGCTTCATATCCGACTTCTCTATTTCCTACGAGGGCTTCAACATCACATTTTCAGGTATTGTGGTCCTTTCTACCTGTTTCTCTCTCCTGGCAATAATTGTGSCCTGTGGAGTGTGCACACGGCTGGCACCAGAATGTCACTTTTTGTCTTACTTTATCTGAATATTTATCCTTAAYAACTACAAATAAAACTCTCTCCTGCAAAGCACTTCCTGCTCATTGCTCACGGTCCACTCTGTCGGCCTTGGAGAAGGCTCTGAGGTGGGAGGCAGGCTCAGGACCAGTTGTCCTCTGGTCCCGTAGCTGCTATCCCAGCAGATGCAGTGCTGCATGGAGCCCTGCCCCTGATGGACACCCCACACAGACAAACAGCCTGCATGGCTTCAACTTGTCCCAGCACAATCATTCACAGTGACAATGTTTCCAAAGTTCAGTAGCAGTTTTATTTTTAATCACAATGTATAGAAAATGTTTGGGTGGGATTTGGGTTGTGTCAGACATTATTTATATGTATGGGTTAGAGCGTTTAATTTGTGTAAATTTTATGACAGAGATTTTTTACAGATAAAACACTCACCAAGCATGTGCAAACTGATCAGAATGGGCAAGGTACCCTTGGCCACGAGAACAGTGCTCCTTGAGCATGTTCTGATCAAGGTGGCTGCCGTGGCCTCTCAGGTCCAGCCCACAGTCCCTGACATAGAGGGAACGCTCTCTGTCATGGGTGCAAGTTGTCGTATTGATCTGTGCTTACGGATGCCTGAAAATCCTGTGTCCATGTAGTTCTTCCCAGTTAAATGGAATGTGACTTTTATAAGATGGTCCCCGATCCCCCAAAATCACATGTGATTTCCTTTACTCTTAAGGTCCCAAAAATCCTTTAGTAAGTGTCAGTGGCACTTGTGAGTTGGTTGCTGCGGTATTGGGTATCCGCTTGTCCCCTGTACTCCACAGACCTCTTGATGGAAGGCCTYTGCTTGCTCCCAGTTCTGCCCTGCAGGACTGATCACGTCCCACCTATAATGAGAACTTGGCCGTCACCTGCCAAATGCTGCGGGGCGGTCATGCTCCATGGAGTGCAGTGCCATCCTCAGCAGCTGCCCCGGGCCTTCCTCCAACCTGGACCGTTGTCACTTGTCTTGTCTGTCCCTGCCATTTCCCTGCCTTGGTGGAGTTTCCAGAACTGGCTGCGGAAGCCAAAGCCTCACAGTCTGGACATCTGCAATTCATTTATACACCACGGAGGGAAACTGACAGGAAACTTACAGAAGTGGCCACCCCACCAGGACAGCCACACAGCATGGTCTTAGAGCAAATCCCATTTCATGGGAAATAAGTTCCTGAGCGTCGCTAAAGACCCAATTTCATCTGGAAAGATTTTGCCTGGAAACGGGGTGGTAATCGCTCACAGGTGATGCTGATATCATGGTGTCTGTTTTTCAAGTGGCCAAATAGGTAGCAGCTTCATTGCACAGAGGAAGGGCTGGCCCCTCGGGGGACTTCCCTGGTGTGTGTGGGAAATGGCTCCCTGGGCTCTTCTGCTTCCTCTCAGTGCAGTCGCTTTCCTTTCTAGAAGCCGCGTTCACACACAGTTCCCCGTGGAGCGTCCTGGCTGCTCCTGCAGAGGCTGATGGCAACACTGGGGAGGGAGGTGCCTCTGGAGATGCCCACGCCAAGCTGGGTGCCCCTGGCACTCAGGGTCAGGCCCCTGTCTGTGCACACTGGTGCCCGACCCGCCTCCTGCCCACCACATTCTGCTTCTAGAATGTCAACTCAGTTAATTCACACAGCTCACAGTCCTTCTCCTCAAACCAGGAGAGCCTGGCCACTTCCCAAYGCTGCGAGCAGGTTCTCTCCTCACGTGTCTCCTTCAGACCTCCGCAGGCCCCAGAGCCCGTTGTGGTCCCGGTTGCCCAGGGCCTGCTCCCGTCTCCCAGCAGCACAGCTCCTTCCCCTATGTCGTCCCAGTCTAGTTCCTGCTGTGCAGGGGACACCTGAGGCCACAGTCATGAAGACAAGCCTGGGTGGGTGTGGTGGGGGCAAGTTCACATAACGGTCCTCAGCCTCTGGCCAGAGCCCCATGCTCCTTCACCATGGCCCAGGTGGAGGACACAGGAGAGCCAGCCAGGGAGGAGGTCGGGCCAGAGGACCCTCCTCACCAAGGACCCTCCTTCATCCCTGAAGGCAGAGCCTGCACGGCCTCCTCTCAAGTGCCTTCTCCTTACCACTGTGAGAACGGAGCACAGATCTCAACAGGAGAACACTCCCATCATTAAGTACAAATCGGTATTCCTAACCTCATCTTTCTACGTGGCTGTCTCCCTCTCCCATGAGATTTCAGAGGGGTGCTGCTCCCACTGCTGATCCATCAGTGCCCCACAGAGCGGAGCTCAYTGCTCTTGTGATGTGTTTCTCCACTCGGCAAGTGTGGCTGAACCGCTGGACGAAGCCTGGCGGGAGTCCAGGGCTGGAGACGAGAAGCCTGGATTCACTGGGGACCAAGGCACGGTGCAGAGCCTCCAGGGGCACAGAGAGCGATAAGCAGGTCCATGGGGACAGGAGAAAAGACACTGTCCTGAACAGATTCCAGGGAGGGGCTCTGATACACTGGGACTGGATGGCCAGGACATGTGTGTGATAAAGGACAACGTGGGATGGGCCTCCTGGGGGCGCTGCAGTGTTGGGAGGGGCCACAAGGGCACACAAGGAGGCCGCTGCATCCAGAGCCCTGAACTGAAAGGGAAGGGTGGGGCCTGGAGCCAGGTTGGCCTGCAGGACTCAGAAGCCACTGCACGTTGATTCTGCACGTGCCCTGAACCCTTCACGAGGGTGAGAGCAGAGATTGACAGGTGGGCCCTCTACATACGGAGGGTTTGGAGGAAATACAGAATTTTATTTTGGAAAAATTAAGGTATACATCCAAAAGAGATTGGGAGAGTCTTGAGTTGATACGATAGGCTCAAGTTAGGAAAYGTGCCTGAAAGTCAGCAGTGTCGGCTGGTTTGAAGCCACAGGACCAGGACGCTGGGCAGGTCTGAGGTGCAAAGAGACAGGCCCCGGGTCACAGCTGGGCTCAGCTCTCTGCGGTTGGAGGTGAGGATCCAAGTCTCCTATGGAAGATGGGGCCATGGGTCAGGAGGGCCGTGGGTATTGTGGAAGCTCGGGAAGGAGACCTTTTAGAGAAGCAGAGATCACCCAGCGGTTCCCACACCCACTGAGAGGGCGAGTGCAGAGGGCTGGGGCTGTGGGTCACAGTGATGTTGTGGGAGCTGTGRCAGATGGCAAAGGTGACACAGGACAGATGATGGAGATACAGGGAACATTCAGTCCTTCAAAGATCTAGTGCTGAGAGTAGCCAGGAGCTGGCCTGGTGGTGTGTCGCGAGCTGGCTTGTAGCATGTCTCCTGCTGAGGTGGCGCTGCAGCCCACGCCTCTGAACCCGGGGAGTGAGTGAGAGCATGGCTACAGACAAAGGATGAACCAGGCTGGCAGTCAGAGGGAAGATGGAATCCTGAGGGCCACGCGTTTTCCTTGTGCTAGACGAGGGATGAAAACGGTGYGAATGTACATCATGAAACTGCTTAGTGATCGACAGGAGCATCCTTCCATGACCCMACAGGGTGTAAAGCCGGCACCATCTAATCTCATGGTTCCGCACCAGGCTCTCTCTTCAGGCAGGTGGCTCTCAGAGGCCATCATCTACACTAATTAAACGTACACAAGCCAAGAACCCCAGCAGTGCGATGTTTCTTTGCATAATATAATAATAGTCTATCGCAAAGTAATACCAAATCACTATCTCATTCTGGGAGAGTTTTCAGTGGGTTGGAAAGAAACTGCGTGAAAGGTCCCATCTGAATGGAGAAGGTGAAGTACATCTCACATAGAAGGAGGACCTCAGCAAGACAGGAGGTAAAGTTCCCCAGACGGCACCATCTTAGTGTTTCCTAAGTGTTTGATCATTATGCTTTGTATGTGATAGTTTTTAATAGGTATTTATTGAGTGCAATTACAGGGTATCATTTATGTCTTTCTTCCTGGGTTGCACTAAAATAAGGTCAAATTAGTTACATTTTAAGAATGGCCAGAGTAGTTTGAACACAGGAATTACGGGAGGTTTTTACCCAAAGGCAGAGCAGGAGGAAAGACAATCTGACAGCCCCACGGAAGACCAGCAGGCTCAGGGAGGAGGAGGAGGAGCGTGGGAGGAGCACCCCATGCCCCTTGATGGGGCTGCGGCATCAGTCCAGCRATGACATGCCAACGAGCAACCAGACAAGTGGTAAAAGTGAAAAAGACTCAAATTTGGAAAATATGGAGAACGTTGACAAAGGGTTGCTCTCAGCGTGATCCCCGGGAGCACTAGGTCTGAACCTCAGAGTTCGGGGCCTTGAGGCGGYACGGGAGACTGCGATGAAAGCAGAGCTGTCCTAGAAACATCAGCAGGCTTTTCCATGTTCCTGCCGCCAAAATCTGGAAGCCTGACCCTCCTCTGCCTGGTGATTTGAATAATGCTTATCCTGCACTTGACCTTTCCACACCTCTGAGAGCCCCATCCAGGTCCGACACACGTCTCATACTGAGGCACAGCAGGAAGGGAGACATCAAGCTCCATCCAGGCTCCTGTCCGTGCTCTGACCGACTAACAGTTAGCGAAAACCCAAACTTCACAACAGACCCAGGGATCAGCATCAACCAGAGCACCTTGCCCATGTACCGAGGTCTGGAGGGGTCGGGAAGGGCTGTTATCAGCACCAGTATCTTGAAACTCCCCCTCAGGGTGCAGCAACGTGCCAGCATAACTGCTTTTAGAAAACTGTGTTAGCATTTTCTTCTTGGGTGGTTTATAGAAATTTCTAGTTTATAGAAGATTTTCTATACATTTCTGGGGCAGGTTGAGAGGTGAAATGGGCCACGGGAGCTTTCATCAACCCATGCTGGACATGGCTTTTCTCTTGCGCTCTGTGTCTTGGTGGTTGCAAAGCACCTTTAAAAGCAGCGCAGAAACTGATGTCAGCAGAAGTATCAGTCAAATCACCCCACACTCTCCAAGGGGCACCTCTGAAGCGGGTCATTTCACTTTACAGTGTTACGTGTCTGAATTTTAAAAATATTAGTATTCACACCACTTGTCAAAGGAGAGCTCCTAATTCAAGGGACAGAAACCGCCCAGAGCACAGCGGAGCTTGGGAACAGCTGCCTGTTTTCATATTTTTAACGAGACCTCTTTGAATTYTTGCTGAGTTGTTAGGTCCCCGTGTGGCATCCACCAACCCCACATGCTCACTCTCTCTCCTCCTGTCTCAGAGTATGATCTGGAGCCGTGTGACGACCCTGGAGTCCCTGCCTTCAGCCGCAGAATCGGGTTCCACTTTGGCGTGGGGGACTCRCTGACCTTCTCCTGTTTCCCGGGATACCGCTTAGAAGGTGCCACCAAGCTTGCCTGCCTGGGTGGGGGCCGCCGTGTGTGGAGTGCACCTCTGCCAAGGTGTGTGGGTAGGTGGTCACACGCTTTCATTTCATTCATCTGTGGGGACAGGGCTCCGCCCAGCCAGGAAGCAGAGTGGGGTGGACAGGGCGGTGGGGCCCAGGCTGGACCCAGCCCACACTGCTGGAGTTGTCTTATGAAGGGTGTCCCTTTCAGCTCTAAAATTTACAACTGAACAAGAGTGAACGTAATCACGTGTCAAGCATATTTATGGAGGGAAAGTACAGGTACATATGTATACAAGTAATCTGGGAAATAATAACGAGGTAGACGCYCAGGTGGAATAGAGGGGCCTCTGGTAACGCACTGGTTGGAAGCCACACTCTCCTGGAAGAGCAGTGATGACAATCTGGAACAGCACCCTGGCCTCCTGTCCCCTGAGCCTCTGACATGGGCCTGCTGTGGACTGTCAGGTGGCCCCAGGCTAGAGAGGGCAGACTCACAGGAGTTTTCCTGTTAGTACTTGGAGACACATCCTGGGCTCGTGCTGGGTGGGAGTGCTGGTCGGAGGTGGAGTTCAGGGGTGGCTGSCTCTATGCTGCTCTGAGGGCCTGGAGGGACCCCTGGCCCCTGGCTGCAGGAAGGTGCTGACCATGGCCAGGAGGCCTGTCGCCAGCTCAGGCAGAGGTCTGCACTTGCCTCAGCCTTGCTGAGCACATGGTGGGTTTTACCCCCTSTTCCTTTAACTTAGAGAAAAGGGCCTAGGAGCAGAGGTGGGTGAGAGAGCACCCTGGGGTTGTGCTTTCGGAGTCCGTGAGGACTAATCTCACCAGCCGACATTCCGGGGGCAGCCGGGGTCACCCTGGGAATAAGATCTGGCTACACACAGGAAGGTCTAGAACGTCAACGTGTCATTCCCAGGTTCCTCATGGCCCCCGTCTCTCCAACCCTCAGCGTGACTTAGGAACACCGTGCGAGTCAACACCAGGCAGTGTTTCAGGTTTCCATCTGGYGGCAGCGTCAGGCAGGTTCAGGGACCCACTTACACCACCTCCCCCTCGTGCCAGGCCACCCTCTCCTGAGAGCAGAGTTCCCACTTTGGTTGTGACTTTTACTTGAGAACTGGAGGCAAGTTTTGAAAACTGTCTTTGAAAGAAGCACAGCCTGTGCKAATGATCTGAGGGTTACCAGAGTTSCCCGGACCCCRWTCCCCAKGTGAGACAGGCCTGCCAGAGACAGACGGAGGCCCAGGAAACGACCCTCCCTCAGTGAGATCCAGCAAGCTTCCAAACACGTGGCGCTCGCTGGTCTGCGGTCACCCTGTCCATTGCCGTCATTCTGCTTTATCTAGATTATTACCTTGCACCGCCTTTCTTGTTATTCTGCCTGTTACRCTGTTGTCTAAAATATTGCACAATATCTAGACCTGGAATAGCAGCGACSGGTCCTTAGTGCTTCCTGGAGGGCAGGCATGAGTATTTTATTTAATCTATCGCATCTGTATGCAGTGAGCAGGTCTATGGTCATTCTGTCTTAAATATGGGAATTCTAGGACACAAAGAATCTGAGAACTTCACCCAAGGGCACAGAGCTCCAAAGGTGCTGTGAAGCTGGGTCCCGCTTTTAACCACCACCCACATATGGGATCTAAGTTGGCCCTGACCCTATAAACCCTCTTGATTTTTCCTCCCAGCCCATCTGGCCAAGATACCTTTAAGTAGAGTGCTGTTGATGGCCCCAAAACACACCAGCTGGCCCAGTGGGTGTGTCCCTCCTCCTCCCGMACTGTCCACCCCTCTTCATTCCTGGTTCTGAAGGACCCCACCTGTGCCCAGCTCTCAGGTCATGCTCACCCAAGTCACAGTGCCCAGGCCCAGTGTACTCTCCTGCTTCTCTCCTGGGCTGGGCCTCTGGCTGCTGGATGGAGCCCACCAGCCCTGGGAACACAGGCTGTCCACTCTGGACAGAGGCACTGTCCACATCCAAGACCTCAACCCATTTGTCCCTCAGCAGAACCTGGTGAATCACCCTACCCCACACCCTGGGCACTGCTCTCAACCCTGCAACACAGGGTCCTCCGTTCACTGGAGGGGCCAGATGCCCAGGTCCCCCAGGGCTCCCACTCAGCATGCTTCTGCTGGAACCGAGTCCCCCAGCACAGAGCCCTGGCTCTCCTTCMTACCCCGTGCCTGTCTCCAGGCACCCCTACATGGAGGGCTGGCCCCTCCCTTCAGGACGAAGACTTCTGTCCTCCGAGTGCACCCCACTACCCCTCTACCCACTTTTGAACTGTGGAGAAGCAGTCTTCCGTCTTCCCTGGGAGATGCCTGGGCCGTCAAAGCTGCCTTGTGTCTTGGTCTTCCCCAGGCCGAGAGCTGCTTTCAGGTGAGCCACCTCACCCTGAGACCACCTGTTCACCCAAGGAACCAGGTGACCTCCCTTAAAGCTTCTCTTTAGWTCTAGAAAACTTGATTCAGCAATATTCTGTGTTCCTTTAAAATTAYGAAATAGCCATGACCAAAATTTGCAAGTCCACCCAAGAGACGGCAGGTGACAGCCTCAGGACATTGACCGAGTTGTGAGCACCCCTCATTTTCCTAATCTACCCGTTCTCACCACACTTCCTGGGTAACACCTGAGCCACCCTTTCCCTCTTTTCCAGTTCACTCCTGAGTGGAGGAGAAGTCTTCTTTTCATTTGCATTTACTCCTCTTGGGCTTTTTCTATCTAATTATTTGTTTATGATGATGTATCTCATATACCCCATGCTGTTCATCTCCTCTAGACGTGCTCAAGATCTCTCTTGTGGCACCTCTGAGCRTTTAATTACCCAAGTACCATTCAAGATTGCTTTAGCTGCCAGGCAGAGAAAGCTGTCCTAAATGGTTTATGTCAAAATGAAGGTCTGTTGGTGACGTTACTACACGTCCACAGTAGGTGCACCTTCAGAGAAGGTTTGAACCAGGGTTCAGCTGGTCAGTAAGGACCTGGCTGGTGTCTCAGCACTTCTGTCTCACCAACGTGGAYACAGCAGCAGACATCCCCTACCGTCTGACACAGCTGCTCAGGGCAGGCTCCRTGTCAGGCCATGGAGCACATACCCCACCATCAGGTGGCCCAGGRGAAGCAAGCCACAGAAGACCATTTCAGTGCAAATCCTGGATCTCCTCTCCCATTCCTGTTCTCCACACCTCACTGTGGCCAGAGACTTTCCAGTGGCTGAGGGCCTCTAGGAGCCGGCTGCATGACTGTTCAATAGTAACAAAACATGCCTATTCTGTGACATTTCAGATACTTTGTGGCATCTTGGTTGGAAAGCAGGGCAAAAGATAGAGAATAGATTTAAGGAAGAGAAGTGTCCCCAAGAAATCTCCATGATGATTCTCATAGTCCCCAGAGCATGGCGGCCCAGCATTACAGTGGACAGCACTGAGATGCACTC